TAAATTATAATAAAAAAATTGAATAAAAAATTACACAAAAAATGAGGAATTTTAAATAGTTAATTTGATACGAATATCGATATATTTTTGTTATACATAAAGTACTGTATATTGATGCATATTACTTAAAATTCAAGATTACAAGTAATTATGCATAAGTACAACTTATTACAACTTGATATTTGAATTCGTATAAATAACTGCGGATAAACATAATCAAATAGATGATGAACATCTTATTTTAAAATATAAAATATCTAAAATATAATTAGAATAATTACCGAGTTCCAACAAAATAAATAATTATTATCTTTACAAAAAAATTATATTATTAAACCAAATATAAATTACTTCATTATTGTACATAAATTAAATTATAAAAAAATGAATTATTGAGGAATTTCAAATAATTAATTTGATACTAATATCGATATATTTTTGTCAAATTTTTTATGATATCTTTAAACATATATTTTATTCAAAAATAAAAACATCATCGCTTTTTCAAAATCACATAAAACCATATTATAACATCGACTGAGATAAAGAATAAAATAAAATATTAAAATCACAATGTATCTCGCTTCATTGCACGAGTACGCTTCTAGTGATTATTAAATTGAAGAGATAATTTTTTTTAATATAATTTATTTAATTACAATTTAAAATATTATTGATATGTGTAATTTAGTTTAGTTTTAACGTCATATATTTAAATATGTTTATCAATTGATTGTTAATTTTATCTAATTCGAAAGGTTTTAAAAGATTAATCGTAATTAATTATGAATTTAAAATTTAAGACATTAATAAGCACTATCTAATATATACTATATTATAAAGTATTTAGCAAAAACTCTTGAAAACCACATTTTATACATGAAGTACTGCTTATTGATGCATATTACGTAAATTTCAAGATTACAAGTAAATTATGCATAAGTATAACTTATTAAGCTTCATATTTGAATTCGTATAACTAACTGTAGATAAATATAATCAAATACATGATATAATTAGCATTTAAAATATATCTAAAATATAATTAGGATAATTATTGAGTTATAACAGAATACTTAGTTATTATCTTTATAAAAATTATATTATTAAACCAAAAACAAATTACTTCGTCATTAAACCTAAATTAAATTATAATAAAAAAAATTGAATTAAAGAAATTACATAAAAAGTGATAACTTTTATGTATTTTTCAATTTTATATTTTAAAAAAGAAACATTATTGTTTGTTCAAAACCACATAAATTCATATTATAATATTGACAAAGACCAAAAAGATAAAACAAAACATTAAAATCGAGATATATCTTGCTGCCACAAATACCTTTTTAGTACTTTATAATATATTAAAAATATTTATTTGGTCATCATTTTTTGATTAAAATATTAAATTTAGAAAATATATTTTTTTAGTGAAGAAACATTTATGTTAATCTTGTAATGGAATCTATAAATACCCATCTCATTTCTCCATCTAAGATAAGAATTTTAACTATCTCCCATTAAAATCCAGTTTATTGTATTTTTTTTTTTTTGATAATTCAGTCTTCACGATAACGATGTTGATGGAAGGCAGTGTTCGTTGTTCGGCAAATTACGTTCCTCTTTCACCGATAAGCTTTTTGGAACGTGCTGCTAACGTTTATGGAGATCAAGTCTCTATCGTTTATGGGGATCAAGTGAAGTTCACGTGGAAAGAGACATTTGAACGATGTGTTAAGCTCGCTTCTACCCTCGTGACACACTTAGGAGTTTCTCGTGGTGATATTGTAAGTATTAATTGTATCTATATTATTTTTGGTAAATAAAGGATTTGTCGATTAAATACTTATCATTTTGTATTGGGCAAGTGTTGCTGATCTGGTAAGAATAATGTTGTTTACCCATACCATTTGACCTAAAATGCTGCTAACCGAGATGTAAACATCACTTACTCGGTTAGTATTTACCTGATTTGCGTTAGTAAATGACCGTAAATCATTTTAAATTTATCATTGGGAAGTTATTAGAAATAGCCTTTTTTTATAAACTAAATTCATCTTTTAGCCTTTTTTTTCCTCAAATTTCAAAAATGTCACTGCAAGCGGCAATTTCTTAATTTGTGGAGGGATCAAAATGTAAAAAAAAAATTCCTGAACATGGTCCGCAAGTACAAGGACTAAATTTGTAAATTTGGTTGCATATGCAAGTAGCAGTTACTTGGGAAGTATATGGTTTTAATTTACAGATTTGAACTTTAGACTTGGGGACCATGTTTAGATTATCTCTTTTGAGACCTCTTTAAGTTGAGGAGTTGTCACTTACGAAGGTAGTGATTTTTCAGAAATTTAAGAAGAAAAATGACTATGAGATGAATTTGATGCCTGAAAATGGCTATTTATGATCATTTCCCTTTATTATTTCATTTTTGAAATAATACAATTAACTCTTATGTGTGATTTTTGTTTATGTAACCTTATAATGATTTAACTTGTAGGTGGCTGCATTGGCACCAAATGTTCCCGAGCTGTATGAGTTACAATTCGGAGTTCCGATGGCGGGTGGGGTTCTTTCTAATATAAACCCGCAATACGATTCGAAAACAGTGTCGCGCTTACTTGAACATTCAAATGCTAAGGTTGTATTTGTTGATCATGAGTCCTTGGATGCTGTCGAGGAAGCAATCGAAATCTTGGCAAGGAAAACATCAGATCTTCCGAAAATTATCTTAATCTCAGATGCTGACAAGTCTTTATCGATTGCTCCGACTTGTAATCACGTGATTTTCGAATATAAGGATTTGTTATATTCGGGAAGTCTTGAATTTGATATCAAACGTCCAATTGATGAATGTGATGCAATCGCGGTCACCTTTACGTCTGGCACGACAGGTAATTCGAAAGGTGTGGTATATAGTCATAGAGGTGCATATCTCAATTCTCTCGCGGCGGCTTTGACAATGGAAATGCATTCTATGCCGGTGTTTTTATGGTCCATGCCTATGTTTCACTGCAACGGATGGTGTTTTCCGTGGGCCATGGCAGCGCAAGGCGGAAAGAACGTGTGTATGAGGGTCGCCTCCGAAAAGAACATTTTTGAATCGATTGCACGACACCATGTGACACACATGGGTGGTGCACCCACAGTTTTGAACATGATTACCAATGCTTCACCTGTTGACATTATTCCAATTTCAGGGACGTCCGTGAAGGTCATGACAGGTGGCTCACCTCCTCCTCCTCAAGTCATTTTGAAAATGGAGGAATTGGGGTTTAAGGTTTACAGTTGTTTTGGGTGCACTGAGTGCTACGGTCCAGCGACCGTTTGCACTTGGAAACCAGAGTGGGCTTCCTTACCTCCAGAAACGCAGGCGAGCCTCAAGGCTCGCCATGGACTAAACCATGTTGGTATGCAGGAAATAGATGTGAAGGATCCCATTACCATGAAAAGCGTACCAAAAGATGCTAAAACGCTCGGTGAGGTTATGCTTAGAGGCAACACGATAATGTGTGGATACTTTAAAAATGCTAAAGCAACTGAAAACGTATTTAAAGGTGGATGGTATAGAAGTGGGGATTTAGGTGTTATACACCCCGATGGTTACATACAAGTAAAAGATCGGTGTATTGACGGTATTGTGTCCTCGGGCCAGTATATTAGCTCTATCAGCATCGAGGTTGTGCTCTTTGGTCATCCAAAAGTGTTTGAGGCCGCAGTTGTTGGAGCCCCAGATGATCATTTTGGTGAGGTGCCATGTGCGTTTGTGAAGTTGAAGGACGGACATAACGCCGATGCCGATGAAATTATTGAGTATTGTCGGACTCGACTACCTGAAAACATGACTCTGAAGATGGTTGTGTTTGAAGATTTACCGAAAACGGCAACGGGGAAAACACAAAAGGTCATTTTGAGGGAAAAGGCCAAAATGTTGTATGCCCAAAAGTGATTTTTGGTTTAGTTAGGAGTTGTAAGGTGTTTTCAACTCATTAAATTATATTAATAAATGAAATTATTTATGATATAATTGTTCCGTCTTATTTTCTTATTTATCTTTAGTTTGTTGATTTTGCAAGTTAACTTTTAAATGATTAATCGTATTTGTCTATTTTTGATATTTTATCGATTATAAACATTTGAATTATATTATGATATAACATTTTTAACGATAAACATAAAAATCAGATGAATAGAGTTTCCGAGCATCTCTAATGAAAGAGCCTTTTGAATACTTTGCCACTAATATCAAAAGCCAATCACAAGGGTGATGCCTGATTAGTTTGAGCTTGACTCAAAAGGTCAAAAGTACCAGGAGGTTCCGGGTTCAAATCCAAGGAGAAATAAAAACCCCATTGTGGCCACAGAGGTTCAAATGCGGTGACTCCAAACTATCTGCAAAGCAGATGGTCGTTCTGAGATTAGTCGGCTTGCATGACGGATTGGATATCCAGGTTAATTAAAAAAAAAACCCTTTTCATGAAGTTACTCTAATATAATAAAGTTATTCAAGTCATGAGCATATTTTAAAAATAAAGTCATTTTAATGAATTTTTTAAATGCTTTTAAAAAAACGATACGTGTTGAAAGGAAATCGGAGATTTATAATACAAATTAAGTTTTTCTATTAAAATATATCAAACTTACCAAAACCATTTCGGCGGTTATGGGAGTGCTTATTTTTTTTTTCTACAAAAGTTTTTATCAACTTATTATAAGTTAAAAAGATTTAATTTTTTCAAAAACTTTTTATTATCGGCTTAACACCGGTATAAGCTCTTTATCAAAACATTTAAAAGTGCTTATTATCGGTGCCACACCGGAATAAACTAATAAGTTGTTTTAATAAGCAATTCCAAACACCCCATTTGTCTCTCTTTTTCAACATGGCATTTATTGAAAGTATTATTTTATATACTGGAAATGTATTTGTATAATTATAACGAAGGTAATACATCTTTATTTTATTTATTTCGATTTTATTTTATAAATTTATACGCTTTTAAAAGAGAGAGAGATAGCGAACTTTTTGCTAATTATCAATTTTACTGAGTGCTTTGTTGTTACAGTAAGACTCAATATTTATTGAATTACTTTTTAAAGCTTACACATATTAATAAGTTGTAAATATTGTATCAATACACTCGCATGTGAATATACTCGTAAATTAAAATTTTGAAAATCGGGTTCAAAATTTGAATATATATACACCCCCAAGCCATTATCAATACTTATATTAAGAAACAATATAGATATTTATGAAAAATTATCATGATTCATTAAGGATGATTGAGATAAAAATGATAATTTTCAGTCATTAATGATCATGACTTTATATTAGGAAACAAAATAAAATCAGATATTTATTAGACTAGTTGAACGACTAAGATTGATTTGTATGGTTCGCCCTCTATATACAGAGGCGGAGCCAGAAATTTTGAATGAAGGGTTCCGATTATTCAGTGTCACACTTTGTTAATTCAATAAAGTTAATATGGTCCAAGTCTGATATATGCTCGACTAATTCTACCTTTTAAAAATTTAAGCAAATTATAATTTACACATATGTAATCTGAAAAGTTAAAACAATTAAGTATTAAAAGACTAAAATACCCTTGAATTTAATTGGGATAACGAAATCTTTTTGATTTCGTTAGAAGGAGGGATATAATGAGTGCGAAAATACATACCAAGGGTATTAAATTTGTATTTATTTTAATTTTAGGACCATGGTGGGTAAAAAGTGTAAACCAGATGGACCAAGTCCGTAATTACTCTATAGTTTTTAATATAGTATAGATGACGTCATCATTTTCAAAATGCGGGCTCAAAAGGGAAAAACTACCCGACCAGAGTCGCAATGTGTTTCTCTCTCTAGATCCATATCTCTCTCTCTCTCTCTCTCTCTCTCTCTCTCTCTCTCTCAGCGATAGAAGCTAACTTCAAAACTCGATCACCACGAAACCCGAATCTTCAAAATAATGATAACTACTTGATCGCGAAGTTGAAAACTTAACGATATTGGTATCCTCGATTGAAAAATTCGAATTGAAACCGTAATGATGAGGAGAAACTGTTGTTTTTGTTGATCCAGATGGCGTTTTTCCGTCATCGTCGTCGGCGTTTCATGATTTTACCCTGTCTGTTATTATTAATTGCTTGTTTTTCGATCGCCGATTGTATTAGCAGTGTTGATTATGCCTCACGAAAACAACAGCATCCTATCACGCCTATCAATCGTGATCTTTATCACACCAGGTAAAAAAACTCCACATTATCGACAATTTTAACTTTCTGCGGCATGTTTCTAGATTTGGTGTACATTTTGCCTTTCTCTGACATTTATATGAATCTTGCTGTTTATGTTTTGTATTCTATTGTGTTTGATTTGATTTGGTATAAATGTTGATTTAAATTCTACTTTGTTACTTTGGTGATTGAAATATTTCCGTTTGAATAACTACATATCTCATACTAGTACAGGGCAGCGGATAGTCTATCTGTTCTATAGATATCAAAGTATCGTCACTATTTAAATGCACGCTTTCAATTTAAATGAGATCTGATTGTACTCCAATGCTGTTACTCCTTTGATCCAGAAAAGAGATACAATTTGATTATGTATGTCAGATGGGTTGAATTTTAGACTTGAAATCAATTTGAATTATGTGATATAAGGAAGATTTTTCTTTCATTATTGCATTAACCTTTTAACAAGTTTGGAGGGTAGGAAACTCCCATGACTTGTACCAAATTCTATTTGAGGATATTCACGTTTGGCATATGCACCGAAATCTTTGGGGATGATTCCGTACTACAGTTCGGTGGTGCCAGAGGGAGTCTTGCTTTGTGCGCTTGACATGTAATTTGGTTTTGAATATAGGGTAGTAGATAGAGATCATTCGTACATAACAATTGTATGTGAGGTTTCTCATATGAAAAATAGTGCTTAATGAAGTGGCCACCCTATGCGCAAGCCTCTATAGTCTATAGGTCCATCTGCAACAATCAGATGATTGATCTGTTTTTGTTTATGGGTTACTCTACAGCCAATGTTTTGGAATTACTACTGAATCTTACTTAAATGGAGTACTTCAAATGATGCTATGTAATTTTACCTAACATTCCACAGAAATCCCCTTTATATTTGCTTTAAAACCAATATTCATTTCTTATTATTTATTTATGTAGTTATCTTGTACTTGAAGTGGTGACGTAGTGTCAGGATATTGGTATTAAACTGTTTTTGTCGTGTACGGGTCAACTAGGATTGTAGTTGTTTTTTACCTACTCATGATGGTATGCTGACATTAATTGTTTTGGTCATATATAGATTCCACCATTTTATTGTCACGTTTCTAAGCCTACTGAACCAGTTTGAGACAAGTCTTGTTTTTGTTGATAGATACATGCATATGTGTATATTTTTCCATGTACAATATATCTTCGGGAAGATTAGACTATAGTGACCAAAACTGAAACTTTAAAATGACTAACATTATATTATACCCTTGACTAAATAGAGAATTTGATTGCCTTGATAGGTAACCAAATGACTTAGTCTAAGGAAAGCTGTATCCCAAAATAGTAGGGTTGGCGTCAATGGTATAAGGGAATTACTGAGAAGGAATAGACAAGTATTAGAACCCAAGAGTTAGGACTGGGACCGAGTATTCAGTTAATTTGTACGAAGTTGTTTGCTTGCTGTGTACTTTAGGGGTGATAGAGAACTTACCATAAAAAACTTTGTATCCAATCTTCTGGTTATTACATTACATATTACAGTTTGAAAGATTAACATGTCTGTTTCCCAAATATGCATCCTATTTATTTATAATGTACGAACATATATATGTAATGCCCATTGATTCTGGTTTTGTGTGGTGAGTAAAGGGTAGTTGCTTTAGTGCATTGTGTTAGAATTGGCATGAACGTTTTATTTGATTATAAACAGCTCAATGAATGTGTTTTATTATGTCATTGAGCTACATTTCCCTCTTTCTTGTGGCTTATTGGTTTCTTGGGAATGTACAAAAGGCAAGGCAAATACCTACACTGAATATAGAAACCCTTGCACTTTGTTTATGAGTGCTCAAGATTCTATTACTCTTATAGAATTATAGTGAACATTGAAAAGTTCAGGACTTATAAATTTAGATAACACTTCTTCATTGTTGTTTCTTTTCCAGTGGCACTTTAATGGAAGAGATAGAACAATTGGTTAATCGCCACCAAGATAGATTCCATGTGGGTTCTGTGTGGTTCTTTTCCTTTCTCCCTGCTCCGTGCAGTTTGTAGTATTTTGTTGTCTGATTCTGTGACTTTCCAACAGATCGAGACATATACAAGTAAGAATAAGGGATACCAGGCTGAACTTGACGTAGTTACATATCGCCAGAACAGGAATGAGATTGAAGACAACTCGAAATTTCGGATTCTTCTTGTAAGTTTATTCCTTTTATTTTCCTACAACTGCATCACGTGTAAGGCAGAGCTAGCAGTTGGCATATAACCTTTATAATCCTGTATCCTACAAAAAGACAAATAATTATAAGAACATGATTTCCTTCTTAGTTCAGCATGCGTTTTCTCAGACTATGATTGCTGATCTTTTTGACAGATGATTACTTGTCTTCCAGAGTTTTGGGCAGCATGCGCGAGAGCTTATAACAACTGAGCTTGCATTGAAGATCTTATCTATCTTAAGTGGAGAGCAATCTCTACCTAAAAGGAACCCAGTGTTGCTGAACAGAACCCTTCAGAATACTGTTATAAAGGTAAGGCATATGGTATTTCAGTAGTTGTTCCTTAAATTTCTTCATTATCAGCTGGAAAAGAACATGGATCTACCAAAATCTGTTAATATGGGTAAAGGAGTGGACGTAGTCCTACTTATCAGATGATATCATGATACGTTCTATTTATTTAAATTAACCAATTCAGTGATTTCATTTGCGAACATGAAATATTGCCTTAGGATCATGGTAATTCTGAATTAGCCCAAGTTAATAGGGGTTTAGAAGTTTCTATGAATTCCTTTACTAAATACTGAGACTAGTTATTGATAATTACTTTGTAAATTGGAGGGGTTTCTTTAAATCTGCCTCACTTTCTGTGTTAGAGTTGGTATTAATAGTTTCATGGATTTTATTATGATGAAAAATACGTTGAGCTCTTTTCTTTTCTATACTTCCCTCTATGGTGTAGCTGAGATCTTGAAAGTTCTGATCAAGGTGCCTACAGAATGCTAACTTGTGGTGATTGCTCAGGTGGTACCAATTGAAAACTTGAATGGACGCAGGAAAGTTGAAGCAGGAGAACTTTGTGAGCGGAGAAATGGTCTTGCATCTTTTAGTTACTTCAGTACATTGTACTTCTGCTTACGGAGAATCGATTGTTGATTTTCTGTCCTTTTGCTTTTCTGTAATTTTTTCCAGGGAGAGGAGTTGATCTCAATCGAAATTGGAGTGTAGATTGGGGGAAAAAAGAAGAGGTTGGTTCTTAAATAACTTGGAGCATGTAAATCTTAAACATAAACTTTTTGTTGCTCTTAATGTGACTTCGTATGATTTTCTTCTAGCTGAAGGATCAGGTTCAGGGGAAAACTGCAAAAAAAATGAAAAACTGAGGAACACCCTGGTAACAGTTTATCTGGACGGTATGCACATGTGCATACAAGTAATATGTAAGCAATTTGTCTGGTATGCACACATGCATAAAAAGCAAGAAACAACTTTAATTACTTGTATGCACATGTGCATACCGTCCAGATGAATCGTTACCGGGATGTTTCTCAGTTTTTCATTTTTTGGGGGGTTTTCCTTCTGGCTGATAATAGCAAATTTCAAAAAAAATGTTGTTATGTTCTGTTACAAGCTTCATCTTTGTTCTTAACTTCTTATATTTCAGGACTTCCGTCCAGATGAAGAGAATCCCGGGACTGGCCCTTTTAGTGAGCCTGAGTCTCAGATGATGCGTAAGCTCTCAACATCATTTGAACCGCACTTATGGGTTAACGTGCACTCTGGAATGGAGGTGAGATACTGAGATGTACCTCCTCACCGTGTTACTTTTCAGTGCATAGTGGATGTTCTCATAGTTTGCATCCAGAGTATCGATATAATGTCTAAAATATTTGCCTTTTGGTCAAATAAACTCATCAAAATTTTATCCGTTGCTTATCCACAACATGAAACCAGTTGTCCATCATTAATGCTTATTCGTTATTTTTCTAGGCTCTGTTTATGCCATATGATCACAAAAATACAACGCCTAAAGGAGTACAATCTGGCAAAATGAAGTTGATTCTTGAAACATTAAACCACCTTCATTGTGGAGATCGTTGTGTGGTCGGATCAGGGGGAGGGTCTGTTGGGTTAGTATTCTATCTCTTTTGCTTCACTATCATGAAAATCTAGTTTCATTTTGTTTACACTATTTTCTTTCATCCTCCATTTTGTGGATTCCATTTTCATTTCTCAGCACATCAATAAACGGAATCTATAATAACATCTTCATTTCTTCTTAGCCATAAAAATGGAACCCACAAATGTTTTTTATGGGATTACTTTGTAGTGAAATATTCCTAAATGAAATGGCTAAGGGCCTGTTTGTTAGCAGCTTAATGAGACTCGCATCTTATTAGGTCAGCTATACATGACTGTTTAGTCAGTAAGCTTCTAGGGGGGAGCTTTATGCAGAAATCCAAGTTCTTTTCCGAACTTTCCCCTCCTGATTAAAAAACACACTCCTTGCATCTATTAAAAACCCATGCAAACAAAAACCTTCCCTTTCTATATCGACAGATTAATCCTTACAGACAGCTTTATCTATACAGGACTTTATGGAAAACCAAGCAAACAGCCCCTAAGTATGGTTTTTGTTTTCTTTTTGTGCCGAAAATTGTTTTTTTAAATAAATTTACATGCCCGAAATAGGTATTTGGCACATGGTACAACAACAGATTACATGTTCGACATTGCAAAGATCCCCATGGCTTTCACGTTCGAGGTTTGTTAATTCACAACACCATTTTGCAGAGTCGCTTGGCTAATTTCTAGTTAATGATCTTACATGTATCATTAACTGACAGATATATGGCGATGAAAAGGCAGACATTAACGACTGCTTCAAAATGTTCAATCCTGTAGACCATCCAACCTTCAACGTACATAACATAAATCCCTTTTCTAACATAATTATCTATTACATATTTACTACTGTTTCTCATGATCTACAGAATTCATCTGTTTTTACTTTAAAAGCTAAAGTGTTACTAAAATAACCCGGGTGTGATTGCAGAGAGTTCTGGATGAGTGGTCTGCTGCATTCTTCACTATGTTTGAAATGGGAGCTCACCAGATGAACTTTCTGCAAGAAAGTCCTTTTAATGTCGGTAACTTGATTTCTATAGACGATTATTTAAACGGGTACTTAATGGAAAGGAAAAGTAGATACGGAGAAAAGAAGGAGCTGCTTGATCTTGGTTTGCAGGAAATCAGAACGTATTTCAGGCTCTTCTTGTTATCTTCGGTTCTCTTATTGTTCATGTTCTGTTCAAGAATCACCAAGACTAACAGATCACTTGTATCTTCCGTTTCTCTCTGAAGATCAACAACACAGGAGAAAGGTATGTATCATTATTCATGGTTTTTCTCTATTATTCTTTTCTTCCATTCCTTATTAGCATAATATAAGAAAATAACTCATTATTCAAATAAAATGTTAGGGTCTATTTGTCACTGATGTTTTTGACATTTTTCATTTTCTAAAGTGTTGGTGATTTTAGTGTCATCTAGAGTTTTGGTGTAGTGGTAATTTATATGGGATCGACTAGGTGGTAAGGCAAGCATAACATGTGTAAGGAGGTGTGGAGTGTACACTCACAAATGCTTCCACCATCACCTTAGATCACCATAAGACGGGGGTAAGGGGGTTGTGCCTCTAGTGGGGTCCAAGGGGCAGCGGCCCGAAACCTCTATGGATGTTAGAAAGAGAAGTGCTGCTGAAATTTGAGTTTCCAAATAAACTGAGGGGGTGTTTGGTTTGATGAAATTGTTTTGAGAGATTCGGATTTTTTGGAAGGAATTGGAGGGATTTGGATTTGAAATCTTTGGTGTGTTCGGTCTGTAGGATTTCAATTGGAATTGAATTTAATTCTTCATAGATAATTCACAAAAAAAAAAATTATAAATAGTTATAAAAATAATTAAATTACTTTTTTATTGATTGATTATTACAAAATAAATGTTTTAATATTATTTTAAAACATCACTGTATAGAAATCCTATGAAATCCCATGAAATACAAATAATCACTATGGGATTTCAAAATCCTATATTTGTGGGATTTCAAATCTAGGAAATCCTTCAAACCAAACACGGGATGGAAATGAAATTGAATTCCAAATCCTTTCAAATCCAATCCGATCCTGCAAACCAAATGAGACCCTTAAAGGGTCCGTTTGGTTTGTAGGAATGGAAAAGATTTTGGGGATTTAGAATTCAAATCTATTCCAATCTCATGTGTGGTTTGCAGGATTGCTCGGATTTGAAATCCTAGGATTTCTTTGAAATCTATCAAACATAGGATTTTGAAATCCCATGGGGTGGTTGGGATTTTACTGGATTTTGTAGAATTTGTATATAATAATGTTAAAAACATTTGTTTTCCAATAATCAATTAAGAAGGTATTTTTATAATTTTTTTTATTACAAATTATTCATAAAGGATGAAATTCAAATCCTACACACCAAAGATTTTAAATCAAATCCCTCCTATTCCAAATCTTTCCACGAAATCTAAATCATTCAAAAGAATTCCATCAAACCAAATGCGCCCTAAGTGTACTTTAGAAGGCAAGAAGCCTTCTTAACTTAGTTCAAATTGTCTTTAGAGGCTAACTCAAAAGCTTCTCAGTTCATGTTCGGAAGCCTTGACTTCTGAGGTCACGTTCATAAGTTCCTTTTCATCCGTGTTTGCTCTTTTCCACGAACTTATCAATAAACCACCATAACTAACCTATAACCGTTGATCTCTCGCATAAATATGTCAACCGTTGAATCTGCGTCAACATACAAAACAAGTTTTTACATCCTTTAAATTTTGAGTGATCATTTGTGATTCCCAAAGCAATAAAAGGTAGAATGAGTGTATTTGGAAAGCGATATTATACGTGATTCAATTGATTTACCCGAAAGAACCCTCGATTTCTAACACTAAGTTCTGTTTATACCATATGATAGCTAATTTAAATACCAGACTTTAGCTGCTAATTTATGACTATTATTATGTAATGGTAAATAATGAAACCCAATATATCCCACCTTGGGGGACTAGGGTAAGGTATAATTTTTTCCCTTATAACGATCATTAGCTGTCAGGTTGGCATTTGATACAAGGTTATTGTCAAATTGACACTTTCAGGGAAAGATGAGATTTTGTCAATTTGTTTTGTTTATTGCACAACCTCTTTTGGATATGGCGTTGATGTAATAAGCGAGTATTGTGCATGTGTTATATATAGTTGAACAAGACGGAATCAAAAAGCCATTTTTTTTAAAAATGGTTAAAAAACTTAAAACTCGTAGAGATTATTTATACTATGTGGTTCTCGATAATGTCTTTTGGATTTGATTATATGTAGTTAGGATTGTTATTATGATGACTTGATCATAGAATGAATCTAAAATCTACTTCGAAAACACAACCAAACGCCCCTAAAATGTGTGCTATGCAAATCCAAATATTTGATTACCAAAATGGTATTCAAAACATTTAATTATATTAACAATTAGTAGTAAATATTTCAAAATGAAATAAAGAATGTCAAATGGTTGTTTATCAATCAGTACTTGTTACAATATGCATTTTGTGATGGATACATTGTGGTATGTGCAAGTACCTACAAAAGCAAACAAACTTGGTGCGTAAGCTCGTCCGTAAAGAGAGAAAAAGAAAAGGGTGTTCAGTACATTTAGATTATGTACGTTTGATGTGCAAAGAGGATCCAAAAAATGAAAACTGTTGCAGCATTCTGCTCACGGTTGAGATGGAAGATGATATGCCAAACCCAATTGAGAAAAAATGGACCACCGTTAACCAGGCTGTTGGCACCTGCCCAAAGGGTTTGTGAAATCATATGGAACTATGATTTCAGTCTTTGTCTCATATACTTGAGTGCGGAACGTAACTTAGCTCTAGCTTTCCGGTCGGGCGTGCACCCAGACAATATCATTTCTTCATAAACACTTGGGACCTGAAATTTCACACTGAATTTAGAGAAAGAAAATGACCAAAATCGACATTATCTAATGCTTTGAAATGATCATTAAGGTCCATGGGGGTAATCTTATATTGAAACTTCGCCAAAAAGGAGAAAAATACTATATTTAATGACATCCCAAAAAGGAAATTATTAATTTTATTTTGGGACGTATGGGGTATTATAAGTCATCGTCGTTCGTTTCTTGAAAATTAAGTAACATTTATACAACCTCATAGTTAAAAACAGTTAATTTGACAATGACTATTTCTTGGATCAGATGGAATACAAAACAAACAAATGCAAGCCAAACATTTTTACTAAAGACAATCATATCAGACTCTTGATACTTTGATGACTAATCAACAGGTGTATGATATAAACTTCTATATTTTGTTTTATGTATTGCTACTCCAGTCGATCTACAGTCTTGGTACAGCCTGTGGAGGGATGTTATGTATAAATCATATGCATTAGTGGGGCCAAATGTGCCATAGACCATGGTTAAGAAAAAGAAAAAGAAAAAGAAAACTAACCACGCCACCCATTATTTGGTAAGTCAACAAGTTTTCTACGGTCTTGGTCAAAAGCCAGTGTTCTGTTACTCGTCATTTTCGTTCCATAAAAAGTGTTGGGACCCATCACTATGGTTGTTAGATTAAGAGCCCACAATCTACATCATGCTTAAACAATTTTATTTGCATAATTCAGTATAAATTGACAGGCAAACAAAAGTGTTTGACTTCTTTAGATGAAACACAGCTAAATAACTAGATAACGTTATCTGGGTTGTGCTAAGGATCTACATTAAAGTTCTAACCAGGAGTAAGAGTACAGATGCCATACCTCGTCAAACTTCTCCACACGAATTAAAGTTTTCATAAGAGTAGTGTACGTGACGACATCTGGTTTCAGGTCCTGTATTAGGAAATATCACATTGATATTCGTGAGTTGACAAAAAACTGTTGCTCCATTCGTCCCGAAATAAGTGTCCTAAAACTTGGTGCTTTTTTCATTGTTGGCATTTATTTTCGAGACGGAGAGAGTAGTATATAGCTGATATGAAGTTGAGGGTGCTTACATTTTCCTTCATTGATCGTAAAACTGCAAAGGCTTCAACATCTCTTCTATCCTCACAAAAAGCGTTTATTAATGCATTAAGAGCTAAATTACTAGGCTTCAAACCATCACTTCTCATGATCCTAAACGCGTTCAGTGCCTCCTCAGATAGACCCTGCTCAATAAACAGATTTCAATCATGCAAGAAAGTTGTTTCTTTTGCTCAATTAAGTTTTTCATTTTGTGAATCTCATTTTATATGATGCCAGAAGAAATGATCGTATGATTGTTAGATAATGTGATAAGAAATGCCAAATGTGACCCACATGATGGGAAAAAAAATACATATATGAGTTTAAGCTTACATCTATGCTTTAAAGACAAATTTGATATGGTTTTGTTGCAAAATAAGACCAACACCTTTGAAATAGGGTAATGACCACTTCCGGTCCTCAACAAGTACAACAATTTACATTTCGTGACGTCCCAAAGGCCTCCTTGAAAAATCTCAAAGCAAAATTACTTATTTTTCCCATTATTGAACATGATTTATTTGGACAAAAGATTTTCCTATTTGTCACCATGAGGGGTACTTTAGACATTTAACTAATAGTCAAACACTTCCCAATGTATGTGCCTAATCAAATATTAAATTTGGACAAAAGGAGTACTATAAAGTCCATTTTGGTCCTCATATATATCAGAGTTCATGAAACATGTTACTCTAGATGTTTACACTTGGTCCATATAATCTTAAAACACTATCATGATCCTATCTTGGAATGACCTTATCAACAAGGATAGTGAAATAGAGGTATTTTAGCTAAATGACCTTAGTGTTTTTTATATCCATGTCCTCTAACAGATTTCTAGTCATTCTTGTGTATGGAAGCAACATTCTAAACCCTCGCAGCAGGTCATTTAACCAACAAATGAAATAGGCTCCATCAGCACAAACATAGCATTTATTCATAACGAGAGATAGCAACAAAAAGAAACTAGATGACGAAAATACCCTTTGAGCATAGGCATTAATCAAAGCATTATAGATTGTTGATGATGGCTTCAAACCAGCAGATTTCATATCCTCCAAGCATTCATTCGCATCCATGAACCTCCCTGATCGCCCATAAATGTCAACCAGCGTAGTATACGTTATAACATTTGGCTGCAAACCTTGGCTTTTCATCTTTCTCAATAAGCTCCGCACTCCTTCCCACCTCTCCTGCTCCCCAAATGAGTTGATCATTATATTATATGTGGCTATACAAGGCAAACACCCTTTCTGCTGCATTTCATCGAACAGTTCCTCTGCTTTATTATGATGCCCAGATTTACAATGACAATCTATAAGTGTGTTCCAAGTAACCGTATCAGGTTCAATCCCTTCGTCTCTCATCCTCTCCAATGTCGCCAATGCATGATCAAGACAATTATACTTCCCAAATGTATCGATCATAACATTGTAGAACTGTCTGTCTGGTTTCACCCCACACTTCTGCATCTCCTTCAGAACTTGAAACAATCTTTGCCACTCACCTCTATCACGATAACTCACCAAAATCCTACTGAAAACATACGAATTCGGCTTCACGTTGTTTGCTTCCATCTCTTTCAACACAATTCTCGCACTCTCCCACCTTCCCGCATTCCCATACGCATCGATCAAAAGGCTATACGTATGCTCATCAGGGAAAACCTCGTTTCGTTCCATTTCATTCACTATCCACTCTGCATCTCTCAAACAACCACTGTTGACATACCCCTTTAGCACAGCATTGTAAGCTCTAGTTCTAGGTCTCAATCCGCCTTCCTTGATCTCTTCAAAAACAGCTTCGGCCTCCTCAGCTCTCCCCAAATTTCCCAGCTCCGAAATAATGGAAACCACAGTCGAAGTTTTGGGACTCAATCCATTCCCTTGAATCACACCCAGAAAATGCATAGCTCTGTCAACATTACCTGATTTTGTAAACCCTAGAACTATATCATTCAATAATTGCACATCTAGCTCAAGAGCATCTGATACTATTTCATCATATAACTTCTCCAACAATCCCGAATCAATTTTGTTATTACGAACCAGTGATTGAATGATTAAACTGTAATTCACAAAATCCGATTGGTAACCCTCCCCGCGCATCTTGTTCATCAGGATAACGGCTTTCTCCAAGTCATCGTTACGAGCACACGCTCCAATGAGGACGTTATAAGTTAAGGGAGTTAGGGTTTGTTTCTGAGAGAGTAAAAAAGCTTCGTATACCTTCTCGGAGCTTCCAAGCGCGTGGATTAATACCGAGTACAACAATTCATACGAGAAGCAGAGATTGTGCCTGTGGAGCCAATCAACGAGAGCGTACGTGGTTGAGATCGAATCTGATGAAGAAGGGGAAGTTGCTAGGGATTTGAGAAGGTAATGCCATAGTGAAGCTGGTACTGATCGATATGACTCGGCGAGTTGTAACTCGGTTGGGTCGAGTGACGTGGGTGGGTCGAAGTAGTCAGGGTCATCGTCATCGGAGCTGTAAGTGGAGAGAAATTCGAGGAGAGGGGAAAAGTCGTACCGGCGACGGGAGTAGATTGAAACGCCGTCTTCTCGTGTAATTACATCATCTTCGGATAAGGAGAGCGAGGTGACAGATGAACGGAGAGGTGAGTACTTAGAAGAGGCGGTGGAGAGTGATGGATGATAGAAATTGCGGTGGCGGAGGGAGCGAGTGGTGGTGGTGGTGGACGGTGGAGGGAGAAGCAGAGCCTTCATTGCTTGCCGGTGGGTGGGGGTGGGAAAAGCATGGTGACAGTTTATCCGTTGGAGAAATTATACATTTAGTCCCTAAATTATTAGTTAATACCAAAGTTACCCTCAAACTATTCAAGTTTTATCATGCTACTCGTCCAAAAACCTAGAATGACATTTCAAGTTTATGAATTTTGTCGTCTTAGTCCCAACTTTATGGTACAAATGAAGAGTGAATCTAAGGGAGAGTTTACCAAACGTTTATCCAACTAAGTGCTTACCGATAAAATTCAACACTATCATTTACTTGTCGGGTAAAATTTTAGTCCATCAAAACGGTATTGTATGAAACAGTTTATCCGGTAAGCGATAATTATGGTAAGGGTCATCACCCTCACTTACCGGATAAGACTTTTGGTTATTGTCTTCGTTTTTATCGGGTAAGCTTTTGGTCTTTGCATATTCATCTGATAAGGTAATGTGACTTGATAAGCGCTTACTCAGTAAGCGTTTGGTAAACAACCCCTATATGTATTAGTATTTGTAATTGATTTCTTTTGCATAATATTAATTGATATGACCTCCTTGGTAACTGTTACAAGATCTCGTGCATCATGGCTTGTGGTTTTTGTTTCGGTTTTAGCCTCTTCCCCTAATGGCTTTTATGTTTCGGTCGTTAAGTACATTCACATAAGCAATTTTGCGCAATTTTCATAAATCACTTTTATCATATGAAGACTTCAAGAACAATTACCATGAACATTAAGAATATAAACAACAAAACTTATGCAAAAAAATTGAGATATAAAATCATATGGATCAAAGACCATAAATTAAATAATAAAGCATCCCTTTTAATTTAATAAAACCAAGAAAGAAAACTTTACTAAAAACCCTAAGTCTGTTTTGGTTTGACGAAATGATTTTGAAAGATTTGAATTTCGTGGAAGGATTTGAAATCTTTGATGTTTTTAGCTTGTATTTTATAGGATTTGGAATGGAATTTAATTTTTATTTTTTTATTTTTATAAATATTTGTTTGTTTGGAGGCAATGGAGAGATTATGACAGATTTGATGAAAGAGGCGAAGTAGAGATGCGATGGAAATTGAAATTCAGGGGATTTAGATTTGAAATAACATTCATCTCCAATGGATTTCTATATCTGTCATTTGTAGAATTTCATTGAAATTCCGGAATTTCAAATCCAAACATTCTATCAAACTAGTGATGACCAAAATCCGGTCTCGGCCTAAAACAGTCATGCTCATAACCGGTCCAGGTGTAACCAGTCCCGGTCCCGGTCATCAAACTCAAGCCCGTTTAACTTGATACATAACCAGTTACGGGTAACCGGTCCCTACCCAAAAAAGAATATTTTTTAATTGTTTTTAGATTTTTTGAATACACTATAAAATTTGTAATTGGGTCAACCAAAGACACTTTAAAAATACGTTTTATTATAATTGAATCGCCCCAACCTCAACCCCGGGCACGTTTTTTCGGCGTGCCGCCTTAAAGTAGAATTTCCTTCCGCCATAAGGATAGCTTGACATATGTTGCATTGTGCCTTTCTTTCCCCAGTCGTGAGGATCACCAAGTTGTATGAATTCCAAATCTCGGACTTTCGTCCGTGCTTAGCGAGAATTTGATCAACTTGTTCGTTTGATGCATCATGTTGTTCACCGACTATTATGTAAGACAAAGAGAGAAAGAAATAAGAATTGTGAAGTGGAAGCAAGAAATGAGCTAGAGCCGAAGCGACAAAATATAGCGAAAAACCGAGAATTATGAATGATTTTTAATAAATACGTTTTGTAAGTTGGTATCTTACACCATATTCCATGACACTTATATATATTGTTTAGAAGGCCAAAAAGACAAAAAAAAAAAAAAAAAAAACAAAAAAAACAGCCATATAAACATTCCCAACGGTTAAAAAAAACGGCTTTTTTTTGAACTCACCGGGCCAGGCCCATAATGGTCCCGGTCGGGCCGGTCCTTACCAGTCCCGGTTCCGGTTCTCCGGCGGTNAGGCCAAAAAAAAAAAAAAAAAAAAAAAAGAGGTCAAAAATCGCAAAAAACAGTCATACAAACATTCCCAAACAGTCAAAAAAACGGCTTTTTTTTGAACTCACCGGGCCAGGCCCATAATGGTCCCGGTCGGGCCGGTCCTTACCAGTCCCGGTTCCGGTTCTCCGGCGGTCCCGGGCCGGTTTGGCCATCACTACATCAAAGCAAACATACGTTAATGAGATTTTTCATTATGTATTTTCTATGTTGTTATAAATTCAGATTAAGTATCCTATCATATCCTCTAGCATATAAAGAAAACCAGCTTTACCCAAACATTAGAAACCAAGAACTGTCCTCATTATTTAAAAAAAATAGACAACTAGATACTATATAAAGAATACGTGACCAAATGAAGTAAAAGAAGACTATTCATACCGACTGAAAGCTTCAAAATGAACCTCCTACTCTTCTTTCTTATGAGTTGCTGAAGAATTTTCCTGCATTTGATTTGGTTTTGAGTGCTTTACACTGGCCTCAGATTCTGCAAGAAATCTTGAATCGGGACTATGTTTACCTGAAGGCTCTTTCATTGCCATAAATACGTAGATTGCAATTACAACATTCACTGATACGACCGCCAGTAAGCCGCTCAATAGTGTCATGGAATACGGTGATATATCAATAGAGCCTGTTGCAGAAATATCGATCATGGGATGCAAAATAGCAAAAATCCAAGTCAAGGTACTATGGGATATTGTATCTGATCTTAATCCTATAAAGAATTATGAGAAAATAGTTTTTTTGAAGAAACAAAAAGCAACTGCATGCAAAATACTCGAGAGAAGTTGCAAATTAAGGCTGAGAGCAGCTCCAACAGTTTCTCCATGATTTCTTGATGCGGGACAAGATGGGACAGAACAAAACAAAAACTTGTTGTCTCACGTTTAATGCAACATTTACACTAGGGCATGACAGGACCGATCGGCACAAAGGTACATTTTTCTGTCCCACCAAAATAGGTGGAATAGGAAGGTCAGGGGCTCATACCTCTACAAAGATGATGAGGGTGTATGAGTTTATTTGTCGTGTATAAATGTTATATATACTTCAAAAAAGGTGGAACAAAATAGGGAGATGAGACAAGATTATTAAATTACTAAACTACTCATGTCAAAATTAAAACCTAAAAACCTTGAACAGTTCTTTCCCACCCGCCTAACTCACTCTCGTTAGTCCAGTCATGTCTACGCACCAAACGCACCCTCAAAAACAGAGAAACAACTAGCAAGAGTCAAAACATCCAAGAAAACTTGCATTGAACTCCAACAGTTTCTCCAATTTGAAGGTTGTAGCGTTAACTATAGTACTAAACTATTTACTGCATTTAATACCCCAACGAACGAAAGCTTACCAAGAAATGAATTGTTGCTGAACGCATACAGAATTGCTACAGGAACCGTCCACATAAACAGTGATGTTATGAAGAACTTCTCTGCTACTCCTCCCATTGTTACTAGAAACACAAAATTGGAGTGGTCACATAATTATCCATTACATCAATGACGCCACTAACAAAAAGACCTCAAAAAATGTTATACCTCCAAGATCCATATAACATCTGTGTTAATGGGGGAACAATTTAGAAGCAGTTCTGTGAAAAAAGGGGTACCATCTTGAACAATTGATATTCAAAATATAAAATCATTGCAGTTGGGGAAATTCGAACGAACAAGAAACACAAAACCAATTCAAACACTAAAAGATCTGAGTAATTTGGGATCTGTAGGTTACATATATTCATTTACATTATGTAACCATCGTCAATTCTATAGAACTTCACACAATTTTACTGTCCATTTCGTGTGCCCCTTTATGATTACTTGTTTCTTTCAACAAATTTTGAACTGGCATTGACGATTCTATGTAGAGTTCCAGATTATGGCGCCATTGGAAGCTTTATGACAGCATAAGAAAACAAAATTAGGGTTTTGGAAAAACATAAAATTCACACACAACACAAAGAGATTGAGTGTCCATTTATGTTTAGCTGTTTGTTTTCAATAGATTTTGAATTAGCTTTGACAGAATTATACAGATTCCAAGATTTCAGTACCATCGGAAGCTGATATAAGAAAGGAAATTAGGGTTTGGGAAAAACAAAAGGCACAATTATACGTATATTTTGAATGTCCTTTATATTCAACTGTTTCCTACCATGGATTATGAAATGTCATTGATAGAATTACAAGGATTAAAGATTATAGTACCATCTGAAGCTGGATAACAGCTTAATAAAACGAAAATATGAGTTTTGACCCAAAAAATCTCTTACTAGTATTTCTAGTTTTCCCTTTCATTGTTTAATTATACATCTTGACTAACTTATTTTGGTGTGACACCTGTAACAAGGATAAATTGTTTATACCGATCTCAAATCGATAATGAAAAGTTTTTGAATAAGTGGTCGTTTGCTTATCTCTTAATAATTTCATTAACAGACAGCCTCTGAATCGTTAAGAGATGAATCTTGTTTGACAAAAAAAAATCTATTTCTTAATGATTCTAAAAACCTCTGAATGATTTTGTATCCTGAGTCTCTCTTAACCATTCAACGCCCTAATTTCAATGTAAACAATTATCAAAAAATTATATTTCATTTTACACTATATCACGAAAGCCTATTAATCATTCTGACCACTTAATCATTTTGCACCAAATCATTCAGCAACTGCCAAACAGCCTCTAAGTTAAATCATCCTAACTTATAATAAACTAATAAAAAATTATTTAAAAAAATATAAGTTGTTTCAAATAAACAATCCCAAACACCCCCTAATAATTTTTAAGTAAAATGTCATGTCGTAAAGTTTTTTTTCTATCCTACCCATTAAAAAGGTATCATTATTCCGTTTAATATTTATTTAATTTATTTTTTAATTCTCTTTACATAATAAAATGATAATGCGTTTTTTTACATGATTGATGTAAAAAATAAAACATGATATCAAA